GGATCCCCAAGAGGGAGCCGAGCTGTTTCAGTCCTCTGCCAGACCAGAGACCATGGTGAGCAATCGCTGCGCACAGACCCCTTAGTCCAACGCCCTGGGACAATGGCTGTGACACTTCCTCCTCGGGCAAAGGGGGCAGGGGATGGGGGGCAGGGAGTTATGGGAACTGCCCAAAAGGCCAAACATCGGAAGCAGGTGACCCTCACAGGAATCTCTCAATGGATTCAAGGGAGGAAGGGGAACTGAGGAGAGAGATTAAGGGAGGGGGAGGCTGCTGCAGTGGGGGGAAGATGCTGCCTGCCTGGCTGACAGGACCCAGCTGATCTCCCAAGGGAAGGGACATAGGGGTTACGGGGTGTGGTTGATGTGGGCTTGCCAGTGCCTGACACGATTAAATATAGAGCATGGCATTGTCAGGCGGAATAACGTGCTTGTCTGTTCTGGAGGGTGCCTGACCGCTTCTCCACAGCTGCTTGTCCCCCAGGGAGTCAAACGGGTCCCGTCTCCACGACAAAGGTGGATCGGTGCAACTACGTGTGACACAGCCCTCCCGACCTAGCCCCTGGGATAGACAGCGCCGTGCCAACGGGCCATAGCCGCCGCCCCTCAGGGAGAAGCTGCATGCGCAGCAGCGTGCGCTGTGCTGTAAGTGCCGGTGAGCTCTGCAAAATGCAGCTTCCCCGGGTGGGGTGGACATCTGCCAAATGTGGGATGTGTGTGTGTAGCGGTGATTAGTGGATGGTTGTGTGTGTGCATAGCAGTGGGATGTGTGTGCATAATGGTGGTTGGCAGAGGGGGTGTTTAAGTGTGGGGGGGGGCGTCTGATGGGTCAGTGCCGCACCGTGGGTTGCAGCGCTCAGAGAGGGGTGCTGGAGCGAGGATGTGTGTGCGTAATGGTGGTTGGCAGAGGGGGTGTTTAAGTGTGGGGGGGGGCGTCTGAAGGGGCAGTGCCGCACCGTGGGTTGCAGCGCTCAGAGAGGGGTGCTGGAGCGAGGGCACGTGCCTAAGGATCCTGAGACTGGGGCCATGCCTGGACTTGGTTCAGACATGGGGAGCTGGAAACAGCCCTGGGAATGCAGAATGGCAGAGGTTTGGGTTGCCCATTCAACAGCCCCAGTGGGCAGCCGGGAAAGGGTGCTCCCTTAGACCTGGGCCACCCACCTTTCACACACTCACATGGTGCCCCTCCCGGATGCTCACCTGAGCTGTGCGCTCCCAGAACACCCGCAGCCTGGCCTTCCAGGGTTTGCTGGCCCACATACACTCAGAACGTGCACCTCATACACTCAGAGTGTATGCTCTCTCCTGGGACTGTTTCCCCCCCAACAGGCACACCGTACGTTCCCCAGCCTCGCACTTCTGCACTGTGTCCGCCTCCCCCAGTGCACACAGGAGGGCACATAGCAGTGGGCTTTGTGTGTAGGGGGATTGTTAGCAGTAGGCTGTATGGCAGGGTTTCCCAGCCTATGGGTCGGGACCCAAATATGGGTCACCAGTACATTTCAAAAGGGTCACCAAGTGACTCCCCAGGTGGCTCTGCCTCCCCTCCTCCCCCCATTTTTGAACTGCCCTGGGTCACCAAGTCTTCTTGAATTGTCAAAATGGGTCCCCATCTGAAAAGGTTGGGAACCGCACCAGTATGGGCAGGGGGGTAGCACTGGACTGTGTGTGCATAAGAGGATATGGTTAGTTGTGGGCTGTGTGAGCAGGATGGAGGAGCAGTAGGATGTGTGTGTGCGTAGTGTGCATAGGGATGGTTAGCAGAAGGATGTGTGTGCATAGCAGTGGTTAGCAGTGGGATGTGTGTGCGTAACGGTGGTTAGTGGTGGGATGTGTGTGTGTGTGTAGCGGTGATTAGTGGATGGTTGTGTGTGTGCATAGCAGTGGGATATGTGTGCATAATGGTGGTTAGCGGTGGGATGTGTGTGTGCGTAACGGTGGTTAGTGGTGGGATGTGTGTGTACATTGCGGTGGTTAGCGGCGGGATGTGTGTGTGCGTCGCGGTGGTTAGCGGCGGGATGTGTGTGTGCGTCGCGGTGGTTAGCGGTGGGATGTGTGTGTGCGTCGCGGTGGTTAGCGGTGGGATGTGTGTGTGTGTAGCGGTGGTTAGTAGAAGGATGTGTGTGCATAGCGGTGGTTAGCGGTGAGATGTATGCACATAACGGTGGTTAGCGGAGAGCGGTGGTTAGCGGTGGGATGTGTGTGCGCTTAGCGGTGGTTAGTAGAAGGATGTGTGTGCATAGCGGTGGTTAGCGGTGAGATGTATGCACATAACGGTGGTTAGCGGAGGGATGTGTGTGTGCGTAGCGGTGGTTAGTGAATGGATGTGTGTGTGCGTAGAGGTGGTTAGTGATGGATGTGTGTGTGCGTAGCGGTGGTTAGTGATGGGATGTGTGTGTGCGTAGAGGTGGTTAGTGATGGATGTGTGTGTGCGTAGCGGTGGTTAGTGATGGGATGTGTGTGTGCGTAGAGGTGGTTAGTGATGGATGTGTGTGTGCGTAGCGGTGGTTAGTGATGGGATGTGTGTGTGCGTAGAGGTGGTTAGTGATGGATGTGTGTGTGCGTAGCGGTGGTTAGTGATGGGATGTGTGTGTGCGTAGAGGTGGTTAGTGATGGATGTGTGTGTGCGTAGCGGTGGTTAGTGATGGGACGTGTGTGTGCATAGCGGTGGTTAGTGATGGGATGTGTGTGTGCGTGGCAACGGTTAGCAGAGGGGAGTGTGTGCGTAGCGGTGATTTGCAGTGAGTGGTAAGTGCAGGGGGAATTAGTGGTGGGCTGTATATAAGCACTGGCGAGTTAGTGGTGGGCTGGGCGTGCAGGGAGGGGGTGGCTGTGCACGTTGGTGAGGAGCAGGCTATGTTAGTGCAGAAGAGTGGTGGGTGGAGGGCTGTGTTTGTGCACTGGGAGGGCTAGCTGTGGACTGTTTTGTGTCTGCAGGGTATGGTTAGCAGTAGGATGTGTGCATGGGCAGGGTAAGGACAAGGCTTTTTTCTGTAGCCACATTGGAAGGCCTAAAGCCTAAGTGCAGCCAGATTAAAAGAGCAGCAGCCATTAGCTGAGGAACAGGAAGTCACACCTCATGGTGGATCTACATTACAATTACAATAGTGTCATACCTGGCTGTTAAGGAGACCCTGTCCTAATGGCACTGTCCACTATCACCGGATAAAAAAAACAGCTCTTAAGATGGTTAAAGAAAACTCAGTTGGAGAGCTTTCTGTCTGGCAAGAAGCCACGGAACAGTAGCTGGGGTTGTGGAATCCTCATTCCTTTATTGTTCTAGCATTATGGTCCCCCCCTTCCCTATTGCCTGTCTGTATGATCTGTCTGGGTTTAAATTGTTTCTGTCTGCTGTATCATTAATTTTTCTGGGGGTAAATCAATTAAGGTGGTGGGGTTATGATTGGTTAGAGAATTCTATTGCAGTGCATTAAGACTGGTTAGTAAAATAATAAGCAAGACTCGTGTTTCACAATATAAACCAGAGTCCGAAAGGAAATTCTTTAGGAACCAACCCCAGGACACAGCTCCATGCTCACAGCTGCCAGACCTCAACCCTGAGCCAATGTTAGTGGGCAGAAACTGGAGTCCCCCAGACCGACCTGAGCCTGACTGGCCACCCTGACAAGTGGATCTCTCTTACTGGGAGTGCTGAGCACTGTATGTGTAGCGCATGCGGCATGTGCGTTCTATTTTTGGTGACTGACAATAAACAGGATATCACTGTGTAGGGCTCTTTCACTGGTAGAAGACCCCACAAACCTGCCAAGTGTAAGGCCCTGCCGCAGCCCTAGGAATGGGTAAGGGAGGGTGCCTGCATTGAGAGAGTTATGCTGGAACCCTAGAAACTAGGAATGTGAATGGTTAACCCATGGAGGCTGGAGTGGCTCCCTGCCCACCATGGACTGGGTACGGCTCCAGCCCCACCGAGCCCGCCATGGGCAGGGGGCACTCCATCTGGAAAAGCCCCTGTCCATGGTTGGGGGGGGGGCTGTTTCAGCTTGTCCACAATGCACAGGGGGGCCGCTCCAGCCCAGCCAGGCTGAAGCACCCCTCCCCACTCCCCACTCCCCTTTAATTGGTTAGTCTATTAAAGATTACGTTTCATAACTGAACCAACTAAACGGGATTTTACATCCCTACCAGGATAAGGAGGGCAAGGATGGGTGCCCCTAGTGTATGTGTAACAGAGAATTCCGTGTGGGCAGCAGGAGGGGCTGGTTAATGGTTAGCAGTGTGATGTGTGCACATAGGGGTGGATAGCAGTGGACTACGTGTGGGACATGGGGGGCTGTGTGTGTGTAGGGGCGGAAAGCAGTGGGCTATGTGTGGGGGGGATGGAGGGGGCTGTGCATGTGTAGGGGTGGATAGCTTTTAAGCACTGGCTTCTGCTTCCCACCTCTGCCTCTGATACAGATGCAGCAAGGGGGGAAATCTGTGTAGTCGACAAGATTAACTGATATGCCCAGCCTTATCGGTTAATTGCGTAGAAGTCTACGTGATGACACCCCTAGTTAACGGTGAGCTTTGTGTGTATGGGAGTGGTCAGCAGTGGGCTGGAGATGTGTGTAGGAAGTGGTTAGTGGTTGGCTGCGTGTACACGGGGATTTTCTGGGCATGTCAGTTGGTGGGCTGCATGTGGGAAGCGTGGTAGGCAGAGGGCTGTGTGGGGAGGCTAGCCGTGGGTCATTTGTTGGGAGTGTCAGGCTGCATGAGGGGGCTAATAGGTTGTCGGGGTGGTAGGCAGAAGGCTGTGTGGGAGTGGCAGCCAGTGGTTGTGTGCCTGTGGTGTGTGGAGTTGGGGTGGGCAGTGAGCAGGTTTGGGTGACGTATCACTGTAGTCTGGATGCTCATGTAAGGTGGGCGGGGGGGCAATCTGTGCTGGGCAGGTCACTGGCTCCTTTCTCTCTCATCTGCACTTGGACATGCTCCCATAGCGCTCCGAACCCAGCCTCCAGCTGCCCCGCCCCTCCCTCCCTCCCCAGCTGGCCTGCACGTACAATAGACCTGCAGTTTCTGGCTGGTGGATCTTTCCGAATTCTGCAGGGATTCGTGATCCACTGTGCAGGTGACCTCCACTTCATTGTCCTCTTTTGTGACGGGGAACGCCACGCGGCTGGTGACGGTGAACGTTTTCCCGTTGGCATCTTCCATCACCTCCAGGTCCTCACCTTTGGGGGTGGGGGGTAAAGGAACAGGCACCATCAGTGTGGAGTCTGCACAGGCCACGGTCACCCCCTCTTCTTAGGAGCATGGGAGCGACGCCACCTCACCCTCAGGGCCCATCTAGGCCATGCTAGCCAGCACCAGCTGCGCCCCCAGCTCTCCTGAGCTAGCGATCGGCTTGTGCCCTTCCACCAGCTCGCCTGAACCCTGGCTCTCGGCCCCCAGAGCATGGGTCAGAGCATGCCACAGGCACCATGTGCTGGTTGCCATGGTTACCAATTTTCCTTTAGAGTCTCTGAGCACCCCCATGGTTGTGTTACAAGAGGGGGTGGCGGGGAGCACCTGACCCAGCGTCTCAGGGATGCCTCCTACCCTCATGGCCTCTCAGATTCAAACAGCCCCCGTTCTGGCCCTGCTGTCCCTTGGGGTCCCACCTGACCCCCCAAGCAGTGTCTGAGCTATGGCCAAGTCACCCGAGGGCTCGCCCCACATCTCCAATGTGCTGAGTGCTAGATCCTGGCTTAAAACTCAGGTCAGGTGCCAGCACCTTACCTTGGGCCGCACTGAGTGCTGCTGTCCCATGAGGGTGGGTCCCTCAGGGCTCCTCATTCCCCAGCTGGGCTCCGTGCCGCCTGCCCGCTCCCCCTTCTTAACGGACTCCCGATGCAGCCCAGTGCCACAGGACTCTGTGCCGCCCGCAGCTGCCCGTGGCCATGCTGTAAAGGGGCTGTGTGTTCTCTTCTTTGGCCTGTCTGAGCTCTGCCCACTCCAGGCCCGGGGAGGGGGAGGGCAGCCCCTTCTGTGCAGGCTCAGCCCCCGAAAAAGATCTTTGCTAAGCTGCCACCCCCCTGCAGGCTGCTAAAGCCCCTGAGACTGGGCTGAGGCAGCCTCAGCTTTTTACGGAGCAGGGCCAGGTTCCCTCCTGCACTTGTGGCCCAAGCTGCCAGGTTCAGGCTCTGACGCTGCTACCGCAGCGCTGGGATCCCAGGGTGCCTTGTAGCCAGCACCTACCCTGCAGCTCCTTGTTGCCTTTCTTCCAGCGGAGCTGAGCAGCTGGCTTGCTGCCGGAGGATCTGCATGTCAGCCGGGCCATCTCTGTCTCTCGGATGGGCAGCTCGTAGCCAAAGATCTGAGGGTTCTGGGGGACTCCTGGGGGGAGAGGGAAAGAAACAGAGCTTGTCTCATCCCTCTGCACTCGAGCTGCCCTCCTGATGGCTCCCGAGCATGGGCAGGCACAGGCCCGGACACAGAGAAAAGGGCAGGCAGACGGACACACACAGGAGGGCACATGGATGCACATGCATAAAAATGGACAGACAGAGGGCCATACGCAGACACACAAACAAGCAGGGGCAGACACAAACACACGGACACATAGACAGATGCACAAACAGACAGACACAGACACACAGACACACGGGCAGGTGCAGATGCACAAGCATACAGAGGAGTCCTCACACCCAATTCCAGAGACACACAGGCACACGTAGACTGAGACACATGCACAGACAAATGGACACACAGATGGACACATGGATATGCCCAGACACACAAGCATGCAGATGTACACACGGACACATGGGCACACACAGACACATGGGCACACAGGGGTGTCCACTCGCCCAGTCACAGAGACACACATGGATGCACAGCCTCATAGACAACAGACAGACAGACAAAGACACACGGACATGCCCAGACACATGGGCACATTCAGACATGTAGACACACTGACACACAAACATGCAGACACACACAGACATGCCCAGATAAGTGGACATGCAGATGTACAGAGGGACACGTGGACACACACGCAGGCCCACAGGAGTGTCCACGCCCAGCCACAGAGACACACAGGTACAGGCCGACCCACAGATACACTCGAACACAAGCAGACACATGCAGGTGCACGGACACCGCAAGATGCACAAACATGCAGCTGCGCACACAGACAAACACAGACACACCCAGACATGCAGACGCCCAGACGGACACATGGACACACACGAGCACACAGGAGCGGCCGCATGGCCAGTCACAGAGACACAGGCACAGACAGACTCACAGACACATACACAGACAGACTGGCAGGGGTGTCTGTCTGCCCAGCCACTGAGACATGCAGAGAGGCTTGGCCTCGTGGCCATGCCCAGACCTGGAGCCCCAGCTGGCTGTGAAGTGGGTGCAGGTGGCTCCGACTTGGGCTGGGAGGAGACTCCAGGCCCTGCAGCTTGCAAGGGAGCCCAGGACAGTCCCAGGGGCCGTTACCAGGGCCCTTGCCCCTCAGTGACGGGGGGGACCCCACCTGTCTGGCACCAGGAGCTGCGGAGAAGGGTGTTGGGCTGCTGCCAGGCCAGGCTCACGCTCACTGGGCCCTGGGCCCCCACCCAGCCCCAGCGTGTCCCGAGCCCTCACCTAGCACTGTGACGAGGGCCTTGGCTGTCCGCACAGGCATGGTGAAGATGGAGCAGGTGTACTCGCCCTCGTCCGCCAGCACCACGTTGCTGATGCTGATGGTCAGCTCGTTGGGTGTGGACTTCACCAGCTGGATCCTGTTATCCCGGAGCGCTGGGGCCAGAGCAAGAGGAGTTAGCGATGCCCTCCCCTTCTGCCTCATGGGGCACTGCTCCCCCTCCCCTTCTGCCTCGTGGGGCACTGCTCCCCCTCCCCTTCTGCCTCGTGGGGCACTGCTCCCCCTCCCCCTGCCTTGTGGGGCACTTCTTCCCCTCCCCCTCCCTGGTGGGGCACTGCTTCCCCTTCCCCCACCTCGTAGTGACTACTTCCCCTTCCCCTGATTCATGGGGCTCTCTCCCCCCCTTTTGGGTTATGGCTCCCTCTCACCCCTCCTCTCTGACCCTGTTCCCCTCCCACCAGGCTAACTGAGGCCCGGGGAGAGGAAAGCAGGGGCCCTCCAGGCCCATGTGGGGTTTCCCCGGGTGGTACCTCGTTTCTCCCCAAAGTAAAGGGTCTGCTGGGCAGGGTTGGACCATTGCAGTGAGGAGTCGTCGGGATCCTCCACCTTGCACTTCAGCACCACGGTGCCACCCACCGCCACCGTCTCATCGGATGTCGTGGGCTGGCTCTCTGGGGACAAACCGTGAGGCGTCAGCTTGGGCTGATCCTCCTGCTGCAGGCCCCACCATGGGCTGGGCAATACCTCTGCCCCAGAACCCCGGGCTCCTGCCCTGTATGCCTGGGCTCGGCCCCCTCCCCGTGTGTGCTTGGATGAACGTGGCCAGATGGGGGAGGGATCCTGGCCTCCGGATGACCCTCAGCATGTCCCTGCCTGGGCCTGGAGAGGCACATTCCAGACAGCCCAGTCCCTGGGGTCACGGCCCCAAGTTCTCATCTCATCCCGCCTCTGCTCTTTTGCCTGGCGGGAGCCGAAAGCCCCTGGCCAGCAGCCCCAGCACGCAGCCTGGGCTGTAAGCACTCCACTCCCACGGGCTGCACAAAGAGCCTTTTTCCTCTTGTGCCTGGCTCACGCTCCCGCCCACCCCCGGCTAGCAGCTGCCGGGTGCTTTTCCAGGGCACATGCCCACAGCGGGACAGGTCATGTGGACTGGGTGCGGAGTCAGCACTAGGCCGGTCATTCACCCCTCCCTCTCGGGCTCACTGGCCTCATCCGCATGGAGCAGATCCCGATTAATAGCTGTGGCCTTTCCACAGGTCTTCTGCCTGTGAGGCACCCTGCACCCAGCACGAAGGTCAGAACTGGTGAGGGCAACTGGGACTTCAGCTCATGAGCCCACCAGGCACAGGCTGGTGCAGTGCGAATCCTCCACCCGCCAGGGACAGCCTGCTACACTGCAAATCCTGGACCTGCCAGAGACAGCTTGGTGCAGTATGAATCCCCACCCACCAGGGACAGCCTGGTGCAGTGCAAATCCCCCACCTGCCAGGGACAGCCCGGTGCAGTGTGAATCCCCACCCACGAGGGACAGCCTGGTGCAGTGAAAATCCCCCACCTGCCAGGGACAGCCTGGTGCAGTGTGAATCCCCCACCCAGGGTGGAGAGCCTGGACCATCTGGATTTGTCCCTCACTCTGGGCAGGACAGACGGATGCAATGAACTTAATCAGCTCAAGTGGTGGGCATGGCTCCAGCCACGCAGGAGGAGGTAGGGGGAAAGACTGGCTCAGCCCACAGGGCTTCAGGAGGCCCTGGGAGAATGTCTGATGCATCAGGGCAAATGGCCCCTTTTGGGTGATGGGCAAAGACATGCCAGCCCAAAGTTCAGGGAAAGGAGGACAATGGGGGATGGCCGAGGCTGCCCACCATGTTCTCTCTCCCCACAGGTACCAGGTGGGGGCAGGACGCTGGTGTAGGCTGAATACCTAGGGAGGAACTTCCTGCTCCAGGCCTGTGTCTCCCCTGCCCTCTCAGGGTGCCTGGGTCCCCTGGCTGCCTTGGCCCAGCGCCCAGCTGGCTTCAGCAAGCCCAGCAGTTCTGGAGGCTGCTGCAGGGAGCAGAGCCAGCAGCCAGCTCAGCAGCCAGCTGGGGCATTCTCCAGGCTTGTGACCGTGCTGACTGCGCAGAGGGTCCCACGCAACGCTGTGCAGAGCAGGCCCTCGGCAGTGACCCATGCTGGGCAGGGAGCCGGGCGCTGCCTCTGCCCCTGTGGCAGAGCTCCCTGCTGCCAGGAGTGCAGGCTGGAGCACACGGGGCGCGTCAGATGCCGCTTCCTTCGCCTGCGGCGGTTACAGCCCAGGGTCTGTGTGGAAGCACTTAAGATGGGTGAGCATAAAGGGGGTGCGTGAGCACACATGTAAAGTGTGTCTGCACACATGTATGTATGTTTGTGCACAGATCTGTGTTTTGTAGAGTGGGGGGGTGTATCAGAGTCCGTTAGGGACTGGGTGAAAATTTGCTCCGGGTTGAGTTAAAACCCCTTTGAAATGGGTGTGAATGAACCCCTCCCTTAATATAAGCCTCTCATAGAGCTGGAAGGGACCTTGATAGGTCATTGAGTCCAGTCCCCTGCCCTGACAGATTATGCTGCAGATTCCTAAATGGCCCCCTCAAGGATTGAGCTCACAGCCCTAGGTTTAGCAGGCCAATGCTCAAACCACTGAGCTATTCCCCCAGTTAATTAACGGTCAGGAGGTGTTGGCTGGGCTCCCCGGCCCGGAGATGGCGGATGGACAGGAGTTTGGACTGAGTGGGCCGAGGTCCAGGTTTGGCTGAGTGGTGAGTAGGGTTGCCAGGTGTCCGGTATTCAAACAGACAGTCCAGTTTTGGGGCCTCTGTCCGATAAAAATTTCAGAAAATACCAGACATGTGCAATGTCCGGTATTTTCTGGTTTTCCGGCTGGGCGCCCGATGGAAGCCTGGCGGGGGCGGGGGAGTGGCTGGGAGGTGGGGCGCGATCGGCACTCGGAGCCTCTGGTTGCGTCTGATGTAGGAGTGACGCCGTGGGGAGGAGGAGAAGCCCTGTCCGTGCTCCTGAGCGCTGTGCAAGCACGTTGTGGAGCCTTAGCCGGACTCGCTCGTGCTTTGCCAGGACCGTGTATGGGACAGGCAGCACCCTGGGATCTGCATGTGTCCAGGTCAGTCCTGCTCTCCACTGGCCAATTTTCTCTCCTCCCTGCTCCCCCCCTGGCCAGTCCCACTCCCCCCAACCAGCCCTGCTTCCTGCTGGCCAGTTCTCCTCCTCCCCATCTCTCCCAGACAGCCCCACTGCCCCCGCCCCCGCCACTCTGCCAGCCCTGCTTCCCGTCCTGTCCCCTGCCCTCCCGGCCAGCCCCTTCCTCCCCCATCAAGTGTGACTGGTATTTTTTCTGAAGCTACCTGGTAACCCTAGTAGTGAGAGAGAGAGAGAGAGAGAGAGTGTGTGTGTGTGTGCACAAGCACACACACAAACTGATAACAGACAGATATGGGACAGAGGGAGAGGCAGTGGCAAAAAGCAAGGGAGCCACGCAGCAGCCAGGGAGCAGCGACACTGCAGCAAACAGCAGATATATCTACACTGCAGTTAAAAACCTGCCACCGGCCTGTGCCGGCTGACTCGGGCTCACAGTGCTTGGGCTCGGGGGCTGTTTAACTGCAGTGTAGACTTCCAGGCTGGGGCCTGGGCTGCAAGGTGGGAGGGTCTCAGAGTTCAGGCTGCAGCCCTGAACCCCCCCCCATTAAACAGCCCCTTTGCCAGAGCCTCACAAGGCGGAGTCACCTTGCACAGCCCAGCAGAGGGTGTCTCACTGCGGGGTAGACATGCCCAGACTGACCCTGGAAAAAGCAAGAGGGGGAACTTTGGGGGCTGTTGGTGAGAGAGGCTTGAAGCTCCTCCCCACTTTTTGATCCCTTCTGCCTTCAGACTACAGCATTTTTTTACATTCTTTGAAATAAACAAACCTGCCCCACGGAAATCGCTGTCGCCAATTTCTGCTCCCGGCTGGACCAGCCCCAGGGACCCAAACTTCGACTAGCCCCGCAGGTCCGAAAGGAGCAACAGCTCGTGTCAGTGCGTGGGTGTGTCCACACACATGGATGTGCATGTGCACGCTGGGAAGTGTCTGGAAATGGCTCGACACACTCCGGGATGACCCTGGCGAGAGGAGGCTGCTGGCTGGGCAGGGCAGGCTGGGGGTGATATATGTGAAAAGGGGACAAGAAGGGCAGGAGAAGGCAGGGGATTGGAGTGCCTGCCTGGTGGAGATCCCGGCAGGGGGGAACCCCAAGCCTTGTGGGCCGGATCAAGGTGAGCTAGGCCATAGGCTCAATCCCCTGGTCTATAGGGTACTAAGGTACTAAGATAAACAGTAGCAGAGAATGACCAGAGGGCTCCAGGCAGTTTTGGGAAGACCCACAGCTGCTTGGCTAAAGCTAAACAAACCAACATGTAACTTCACTGTAATGACTATCACACAGCTAGGAAAGAATTTCACACAGTCATGAGTCCAGGCAGACCATAGCTCAGTGAAGCCTATCATTAACAGGTGTGCCCCAGAAGACAAGGATGGGTCAGAACTTCCTTGAAAGGGGGACCATAAGAAAACGTGTGCCAAACTTAGCGGCCCAAGCCTGCAACCTGAAAGCCTGTGCAGAGATGTTCAATGGGCAGGGGATGCAAAATAACTAAAATCGATGTAATAACTCCCGAAATAACAAAATGGAAATTAGTGTGCCCTTACTATGGGGAAGCCTCAAAATTAGTCTGAGGCAGGCTCCATTAATGTTGGGCGCACTATCTCAAATTCAGAGTTCCAGGAAACCTTGGGGAGTAATTAGTTTGAATTACTGTGGGGAGTAGTTATTTTGAAATAGCAGCATTGGAGTGTCCACACTGCTACTATTACTTGAGGAAAGCAGGAGTACAGATTTTGAAATAAGCGGCCTGTTATTTTGAAATAATGGGCTTGGTAGTGTGGACGTGCTGCTTATAAATTTGACCTAACGGAGGTTGTTTTGAAATAAAGCCCTGGCATAGACCTGGATTAAGGTGGCACAGGACTGCTCATTGTTTTCAGACACAGACGAACATGGTTACCCCTCTGGGACCAATTAAAAGGACCAGTCAAAAGCCTGAAAAGCCTGCAAGCTGCATGGAAACTATTCTAAACCAAATAACTTTTAAAAAGTAAAAGGGACCCCAAAAATACCACTGTGGCTAGAGTAAATCATAGAATCATAGAATAATAGGACTGGAAGGGACCTCAAGAGGTCATCGAGTCCAGCCCCCTGCCCTCAAGGCAGGACCAAGCTCCGTCTACACCATCCCTGACAGATGTCTATCTAACCTGTTCTTAAATATCTCCAGAGAGGGAGATTCCACCACCTCCCTTGGCAATTTATTCCAATATTTGACCACCCTGACAGTTAGGAATTTTTTCCTAATGTCCAATCTAAACCTCCCCTGCTGCACTTTAAGCCCATTACTCCTTGTCCTGTCCTCAGAAACCAAGAGGAACAAATTTTCTCCTTCCTCCTTGTGACACCCTTTTAGATATTTGAAAACCGCTATCATGTCCCCCCTTCATCTTCTTTTTTCCAAACTAAACAAGCCCAGTTCATGAAGCCTGGCTTCATAGGTCATGTTCTCTAGACCTTTAATCATTCTTGTCGTTCTTCTCTGTACCCTTTCC